TGCTGGTGGCAAGGCAGGAAACAAGGGTGCTGAAACTGCTCTTACTGCCGTAAGTAAACCTTCCGTCGGCAATCTTAATTTCAAATAAACATAGATGTACTATCAGTTGACAAGCTCAAGTTCCCTGCAGATTGAGATGGCCTCTTTGTTCCGGCATCACTTAGGTTGACACTTTGTGTATTCTGATTTCTGTACACGAGGTGACAGCATTTCTTCCTATCAAGAGTTTTGGCTAATAGAGCTTTTCCGCGGCTAGTATAATTATTTCCAAATCTGTTGGTCCGGTGCTGATTGGTTGCTTTCTTTCTTTGAAATTTGAAAGCTCACGAGACGTGTTTGTAAACCTGACACCGTGAATAATTGTCGCCAATAATGAAATACGGTCATGAATAAAGTTGCACAAGTTGCACTAGTGTTTGTTATTATGGATGAGAGCATGAGAGTTTTGGGGTGAGGTCTACCATGGTTTTTTTTGGGTGAGGTCACCTGTGAGAACTGAAAAGAAACACAGTCGGGCCCCACTCGCTGCTCCAGCAGAACTCTCCCTAGGCGGGCATCACTACTGGGAACTCGAATTGTTCTGTGGGTGACGAATTTTTCTGTGCGTGTTTTTCGGTACGCACAGAAAAATCGTAATTTTTCTGTCGGTTTCAAAATATCCCGATAGAAAAATACGAAAACCCACAGAATAATTGTATGATTTTTCTGTGCGTGACAATACACACATGGAAAAAAAATCAACACTCACAGAAAAATGCAAATTATTCTGTCGGTACTTTAAAAACGCACAGAAAAAATATATGCACGCACAGAAAAAATATTATTATTCTGTCGGTTATTTTAAAACGCACAGAAAAATCATTCACACGCACAGAAAAAAACCGAGAAGTTCCAACCCTAACCCGCCAGCCGCCGCCCCAAACACCCTCGCCCGCTCGGCTCCTCACGCTTTCTCGCCTTCGGCACCCTCCCTTCTTCTTCCCTCACTGCACCTCCCTCCCTCCCAGGCCCCCACACTCCCTCCTCCTCCTCCCTTTTCCACCCGCCCATCCTCCGCCGGATCACGCCTCCCTCCTCCCCTTCTTCCTCGGCCGGCGGCCGTGCCGCCCCTCCCTCCCCCCTCCCCTACCTTCTTCCCGAGATCCGGCGCGGCCGGCGTTCCCCGGCGCGGCCCCTCCCCTCCCGCCCCCAACGGCAAGATCCAGGGAGGGGGCCCGACGGTGGCGCTGGTGGTGCGGTCGTGGTGTCGGCATGCCTTTTTATTTTTATTTTATTAAAGCTTTTGTTAGCTGTATAATTAGCGAGTAATTTAATTTGTGCTTTGCTGCTTTGCTGCTTTGCTTCCGTGCTGCTTGAGAATTTCCTAATTGTTCCTAGTGTTTTAGCAGTATGATATCTGGTTGTTTTTTCTTCCTTAGTCTGACCTATTCATGTCTTGTCTGATCTTGTCATAGGCTTACACGGTGTCATTTTATTGCTGCATTACTAAGAGAAGATGGAATTCTCACTGCAGCCATTTGCAAACTTGAATGAGCCCCTAATTACACTTGACAAAGGTGAATTTAGTTTTTGTTCAATCAAGTTTAGAAAAAAAAAACATGTTCAAATTGTTATCCGGTACTTGGACTTTCAGTATAACATATCCTTGATGGTAAATGAACTGAACAAAATTTGCAAATGTTTGCTCACTACAAGTTAATCTGTCATCATCTATGTGGATTGATATGCTTTGCTCTTTTTATAGACAAAATCAAACTTCATCTGCGGTGGTTGGGGTTCACAGTTTGTGGATGCATATGTAGCATGTCTTTCTTTTTCCAATTGTTGCTTTGCCTATCAGAACTATTATGTCAGCATATGCCTCTATGGTAATGCTTGCCTTGCTCCATTGCGTTAGTAGTGGTTGTCCTATAGATGTAGCTGCAGGATCTTGTTATGCTTATGATAAAAAAATCTAGCACCTTTGGTTGGTCAGATTGGTGACGCCCGTGGAAGTTACTAGTATGCACCTACGACAACGGGTTAGTTGATTTCCATTCTAAAATGGTAGGGAATGACTGTAACGTACTAGTGGAAGTGGAACTAAACTAATGGAGGAACTCCCTTGCATGGTGCAGTGCTGCCCACCGTGCTGGACGTCACCGTTGAGACGCAGGACTACACGCATCTCACGCTCAAGGTGAGAACAGCTAGCGCCTTCTTCTTTGTTGATGAAACCAAATAATAGCTAGTATCATCTAAGCTATAAGATCTTACAACTGTGGATAATCTTCCGGAACTTAATATTACATAATAATATAGTATGAATATAGACCTCATCTGTTTTACAATATGTGTCCAGCTTACTGGAGATTGTTGCTTCTAGCGAACGGAAGAATTTATCCATTGTTTTTTCCCCATTAGTCTGTACACATGAAGTACTTGGATTGCTATGGAGGGTTCATTGTGTTAGAGTTGAATTGATGCTTGACGACCAATCCAGCATATCTATTTCTTTATAATAGTGTAATCCTTGCATGCATGTTGTCTCCTGTTACCTTGCTCACAGCTTTCTCCCCTGCTGACATGCTTGTTAGCCCAATAGCCTTTTCCCCACCAATAAAAAGGGTGGTCTAAACACTGAACTGTAGATTTAGCTTGGCTTGTGATTGGGTTCATAAACTTACTGAAATTTGTGGATTAGTGTCTAAACACTATCTTGATTTATGGTTAATTCAGTTCAATGTCTATTAGAAATTACTTTTCTCTTTATCTCTGAATATTTTTTCCTATTCACAAGATTACTCTAATTAATGAAAAATGGTCTTTTGCAGGAGGCTTTGGGAATTTCTTAGTTTGAGAACAGATTGTAGATATGTTGATCAGTAGCCGTGCTTTGTTTATATGGTTTCAATAACATTGTGTTTTGTAACTGTATAATGACATTGAAACATTGAGTCCATTGGTATGAACAACAATGATATGTAACAACTTTCATGCTGATTATATGTATCGAGATTGCTGAATGTAACATGTTGATGCATGGCTAAATGATACTATTCATGTATGATGAAATATGATGATAGTCATTAGTTATGAGCCGTGCCTGTAGACTTCATTACTGTATGGACAATATATATTTTAATATGCTGTTGCTACTGTTTTAAAATATGTTTAACTCTTTTTTCCTGTGAGGCTGGCTACACAGAAATATTATTTTTAATCTGGGCGAAATGAATTTTTCTATGAGTTCACTAGACCGACAGAAAAAAAACATGTGTTTTTCTGTGCGTTTATTTTTTTTTCTGTGTAGATTAACACACAAAAATTAGTTTTAATCTGGGTGAACACAATTTTTCTGTGCGTGTGAGACCCATAGAAAAATTATTTCTGACGGTGAACCCACAGAAAAAGTCGATTTTTCTGTCACTCTATTTCTGTGGGTTATTTATATTTTTCTGACGGTATTCGATTTTTTCCGAGGGTTTTCGCACGCACAGAAAAAAGAGAGATTCCAGTAGTGCATGCACATTATGCTCCAACAGATGCGCTCGTGAATTCGTGATGGCTTTGCGTCCGGTGTTCACTGCATTTGCATGATTTCAATTTGCATCCCTGAGGGCAACTCAAATGGCATTGGAGTTTTTGTGAACGTGGACATGCATGCTGCTTGCTGCGCCAGTATGGGACTACAATGCAAGCGCAAACCGGAATTTTCTACCTTCTGATCTTATCCTGACTATAAAATTAGCCACAAATGCCAAATCTTACTGCATATCATGTACAGGAATCGTAAGTCTTGAAATAGCTGTAGAACTAATGCAAAGCCTATTGGCCTCTCCTGTAAGTGCTAATGCCTGGTAAAGATCTAGTCTAGTACTATCCATAAGCTAAAACCAGGACATAGCCGACTATGTTTATGGCGATACCCGAACATTGGTGTCGACACAACATTGAGGAACTGTATTACTGTAATACTGAAGGTGAGAGGTCCGCCCTCCTCAGCTATATACAAGCACAATTGACAATCTTCATCACCAGACAGTAATGGCGGACTGCACGCCCTAAATTGTTTCCAAAGCGTGTTACAGATCTCAACTGGTGGTGTCGTCTTCTAGAACTCGCACTTCTGTATCTTCTTCCCATTCTTGTCAATGGTATCTGATTAAAAGCTAAGGACTTTCGCAATGCCATGACTTTTTGTTAATGTTCGCTGTTAGAGAAAGCTGATATGAAGTGCAAAAACTAAGCAGCATAACCTTTTACATTTAACATGAGTCATATTCTTTTCTCTGAATAGGGAAAACCACAAATAAACTGAAAGGATACAGCTTGAGATCTTATCCTGGTCTTCCAAATTTGGGAAGATATTTGTAACTAACACACACATGCAAAGTTTATATCTGCATAAGAATGGGGGCAAAAAAATTGTTGCCACGGGCCAAAGTGCCAGCAGCAGCTAGGTCGGGCTCGACCACGTAGGGAGCCTAACCAGGCCGCGGCAGCCCAATTGGCCCAGGTGACAAGAGTGAGAGTAGGCATTGTAGTTCAGTAGTTCGATGGTTGTCACTTCGCCTGTTCTTTTATGCTGCGTTCTTGGTTGGTCTGCGAGCCAGGTGGGACTAAACCATCGGGCGCGGATGGCTGACTGCCTTAAAGACGTGGCTTAGTTGGGGCACGACCTCGCGATGGGCCGAGCATCCAGTCCACGACCAGACGAAATAGAATGCAAGCCCAAGACCGGACCGGCCCGAGGAACGAGAGAGAAGCAAAGGCTGTGTGGGGTCCGCGTACCAGTGTGTGTAGAAACTTGTGGACAGGAGAAGAGCCGCGAGTCATGGTCGCCGGCTCTTCCCCACCACACCACCCGTTCCATCACCACTGTTCCTCCTTTGTCCTCTCCTGCCTCACGTCTCACACCAGCAGAAACGCTAGGCGCCAGCAGCAGCGGACCACCACCACGACGCCAACCCTAGGGTCTACGAGGAAGGAGGAGGAGGGAGCAGCGTAGAGGCAGGCCGATGGTGTCGATGAGCACGACGCCGCACCCACTGGATCCGTCGGTCCCGGCCGTCGCCGGGGGCGGAAAGGAGGAGGAGGAGGCGCGGGAGGCTGCCGCCGCTGCCGCGCCCACGGCCGTGCCTGTGCCTGTGCCGTCGGTTGGGAACGACGAGGAGGAGGGGCCCCGGAGGATGCGCAAGCCGTATACCATCACCAAGTCACGCGAGAGCTGGACCGACCCCGAGCACGACAAGTTCCTGGAGGCGCTGTAGCTGTGAGTCGTCCCATCCCGCTATCTCCCCCGTCCTATTCCTGACCACCACCTCCGGCGGCGCTTACCTCTGCTTCGCCTCACTGGCGCTGACCCGTCTGCTCTTCCTTCCTCTCGATCGCTGGAGTTTGGTTCACTAGTTGGGTTTGTTAATCTGCGAATTGTGCTCACGTTTGCGTCTTCCTGTGCTTTAGTGGCCAGTCGTTGGTCAAATGGTAGATCTAAGGGCCTGTTTGATATCAGAGCTAATTGCTAGCTAGCTAAAAAATAGCCAAAATTAGCTCTAGCTCATTTAAATAGGTGGGCTAATTTTTTAGCCAAATCTTCAACTAGTTGTTAGCTAACTAGCTAGCTAATTTTTTAACTAGTTGTTAGCCAACTAGCTAGCTAATTTTTTTAGCTCAGCTAGTAACTAGCCCTTGGACGAATAAAATTAACAAAAATAGCTATTTTGGATAGGCATCATGAAGCGTCAGCCAGCGTCAGAAAGCGTTTCCTACCATTGTAAAAGGGCTCCAAGCATAATACCCTACTTTCCTCAATCCTCATAACCTACGTAGGTGCCCACTTAGCAGCGACTAGGCATGTCCCTGTCACCTACCAGGTATTGAATATTTTGATTTTTGTGGATTTAAGTAAGGGAATGCATGGTATTTCTACTGAGAGAGCATGTATAGCTGTTGGATGGTAAATCCTAGTGGCTAGTGAACATCACTAATTTCTTCCTAAAACTGCCTTGTTCCTCACTGGTACTACTGGTGCATAGGCAATACCAAATTTAAGCAAAGTAAAGCCGGATTGAAACCAAGATGAAACAGATCAGCAGGATATATTGGGCGGGCTCAATGTATAAGCAGACTTGATCAGCAGGATAAATTTGAGAAACCCCTCACTTCATACATTGCTCATTTCCAATCTCTGTTGCCTTAAGCTTCATTGATGACACTGTAGAACTAGTACTATTCCACTAATGGTCTTATATGGTCAGTCTCACCAATGGATGTTCTGAATATATTCGAGGTTGGCAAAGGTTATTCTTATAGTCCAGCAATAAATTACATACCAACAGTACAATGAACTAATAGGACTCAAAACCTATATTCAAAACTACTTTTTGTATTCATTCAACTAGAGGTATGAAAGCCCTCATAGGACATCAATTCGATTTGATTCAGCATGGCAAGAAAGCATGTACTTTCAGGTGCAAATGACTGGCCATTCTCAATTACTAACATATTACAATACTAACATATTCTCAGCGAACAAAAACCAGAGGAAAGGAAACTGATGATCATGTGACAATGTTCAAACGATATGAAAGAAAAGCTATATTCTCCAGTAAAGCAGCGAGTGCAGTGTTTCAGTTTCAGTTCAGTTGAGGGCAGCATCACAAGGTCCAACTAACTACTGGGCTTGCGCTACACACTGATGTAGCTGTACACTTCCCAGTATATGATACCTTATCTCTGATTCTTGGCCAGCAGGTTTAGTTGCCTGTTGTGCATTGTAGGTTACTCAGAACTCTTTCAGATATATGCATTGTTATCTAATTAAGTAAATTTACATTTATTTTGTTTGGAAAAGGAAATAATTCTAAACAAAACACTCATTCAACTGATTTGAAATTCTAAACAAGGCACGATGTGTATCTTATGTCAAACTTTTCTGTGCTTCATTGGTCAGCACTGACTTGTAAGAAGCAAGAAGTCATTGATCTGCAAGGACATGTCACACCATGTGAGGTCTGAATGATCATTTCAACTTGTCATTTTTCTTGCAGAGCCTTGTCTATTTGATTTATGGCAACACAGCCTTACGTTCTTTGTGCTTTGACTTCAGAAGCACCATGGTCCATGGGAATTACTACGAGGGATTTTATCAGACTCCAGTTAGTACTTTGGCAGTGAAGCATAACTTGCTTGTTACTGGTGGGTTTCATACGGTTGCATAGCTATTTCCAGAAACTTTCTACAATGACTAACACTAACAATGCATTCATTATTTCCTTTCAAAATTTTGGGATGTAACTTACAGTAAAACAGCATCACAGATCGGTGGAAAGTGCAGTTATGTTACGTGGAAAGTGCAGTTATGTTACAGGAACTTCTAGACCTCTTCTAGCTTAAGCATAGACTACAAGAATTAAGGAGCAAGGAACAGTACCACAATCATGACACCTAATAAAAGGAACTGATTTTGAAGCAAAACTTCTAGAGTTGATAGGGTTTCAGGGCACACACCTTGATTGCTGATCTAAAGCTTTGTGACGCGACCACGGCTGCCGTGCCGGAGATGGAGGAGCTCGCCGCCTTGGAGTCCCTGGTGCCAAGTTGAACGAGGTGGAGACGAGGAGAGCACCGGATCCGCCGCTGCATGGGGGCACGCCGTTGCCTGGGAACCACGCCGCTGCCTGGGGGCGCGCCGTTGGCTGGGTGCCGCGCCGCTGCCTGGGGGCACGACGTTGGCTGGGTGCTGCGGCGCTGCCTTGGTGCCACCGTCGGCTTGGGGCCGAGGGCACAGCGGCCGCCTCGATGAGTGAGGGCGAGAGTAGGACGGCCGCTACGATGAGCGAGGAAGAGGGCAGGGCCACCGGCGAGACGACATGCGAGGGGAGCCAGGTGCGATCCAGTTCGGGGGTTTGGCGGAGTGAGAGGACCATGCGCAATGACCATATTACCCTTGAGCGAATTAAATCAATAAAAATGGTTGTTTTGCGGAGGCATCAGGAAGCGTCAGCAATCGTTATGAACCATTTCCAACCATTGTAAAAGGGCTCTTAATATAAATGGCTTTCAAATGATTCAACTGTGATAAAGTATTATTTATAGTTAAGGTGAATGAAAAATAATGCTAATAAATCCACTTGTTTTTTAGAAAGCATTAAATAATCAATCAAGATCAATATTATAGGCTTGATCTTTAAATATATTTTTTGTAGCATCACATATGATCTCGCACTTCTACAATATGATATTCGTTCTCTAGAAAAACAGTGACAACATTATTGTTTGTACCTCAGATCTTGGAACTCACAGTGGCCTTTTACAAATACAAAACACAAAATAAGTGACGTTCTAGTCTCCAAAACACTATTTCTTAGTATTGTTGTACCACAAATAGTTCGTGGAGTAAAGGAGAAGCGAAAAATTTAATATGTGCACCCACAAATAATGCCAAGTCTGATGGACAAGATCTTCGACAATACTTGAGCTAGAAGGTAACGGTGACTGAATTGATGGTGATTTATCGACCGTGCACGTTGGGGGTCTCTTCTTGCATTGAATTCGCCTAATTACCTGCCGTGTTGTGCATGTAATGTTTGCATGATGCAGAAACCGATAGAGTTTAATTTGAGAGCTAAACTTTGCACCAGGAGCACCAGGCATTATATGTCACTCTCCTATATGCATGGACCATTGGCATATATTTCGAGTGAACTCGGATTCCCGGCCACTTTTCCTAAAGTGAAGTGCATGTATACATTGAGCCCTTGCTGCCTTCAACTTGTTCGGTAAGAACGAACATGGTTACGATCATAACTCGATTGATACATGCAAGACTAAGTGCGCGTAACTGCATGCATCGATGTGATCATTCTAGAACTCTTGGCGATCATGACAACAACCTCCGAAAGTCGTACTACTGACCGGAGTTTTGCATGGAATTCTTGGCGATCATGACAACAGACCTCCAAAAGGCCACAAGAATATGTGATCATTGTCAGTGGCGGAGGACGAAAAAAATTTAAGGTAGGGCGAAGTCGATAACATATATAGTAAAGTAATATCTCTCAAAATGGTTCATTAGAAATTGTGATAGCGAAGCACAAAGTACAAGCATTTAGGATATAAAGAACTATAGAAAATACAAGTAAAGTCAACTAACCATGTGACGATGAAGCTTCAGTCATGCCTAGGCGGCCTAGGCAATTGCATTTGCCTATCTTTCTTGTTTTGAAATGTATTCTTGATCTTCTCAAGATCAATTCCTTTGAATATTTCTCGCTCAATGTAGCACACCATTAAGTAATTGAGCCAATCATCAGACATCTTGTTGCGCAATTCTGTTTTGATAATCTTCATAGCTGAAAAGACCCTTTCAACTGATGCCGTCGCTACCGGTAGTATCAATGCCAACTCAATTAGACGATAAACTGATGGGAAAACAGTATGTCTATCAAGTTCAACCATTTTTGCAGCTAGACTTGCCAGATCATGACAATCTCTAAACTCCTCAATTCTTCTCACATGAATAATAAATAACTCAAGTTGATCTTTTATACCCTTCTTTTCGAAATAGGAGAAATCATCAGAATATATCTCAGTAAGCCGAGCAAGCTTGTGCACATCAAATTTAGAGAATGAATCTCTCGGGTTAAGACAAGAAAAGCAAACAAGCAACTCTGAAGATACCTCATTAAACCGATGATCAAACTCTGTGGCAATAGCATCTATAGCAGCATAGAAGATATCAACACGAAAATAATGGTCTTGAGTGATGTTGTTCTTGCCCCCTTTTCTTGATCTTCCAAATCTTGGTACTGCTTCATTCATATTTGGTATTGGGATATCATTTTCACTGCAAAATTTTGTGGCTTCCTGTAATAGTGGCTCCCAACCATCATTCCTCAAATTCATCAAACGTGTTTTCACATCAATAACCAAAGACATGGCTTGAACAATATTTTGATCCTTCCTTTGCAAGATAAGAGAGAGCTCATTTGTGATGCGCAAGATTTGCAACATCATCTTCATGATGAACACAAAGCTAAAAGACTCCATGATTTCCACTAAACCTCCTGCCCTACTTGGATTACGCTCATCTTGATACACAATTTGTAGAACTTCAATTACTGAATCCCACATTGATTCAATACGAAGTAATGTCTTGTAATGAGAACCCCATCTTGTATCTCCAGGTCTAGCCAAGGATGTTGCTTGATGTTTCCCTCTTCCTGTGGAAATCTCTCCACTGCTCAACTTGCCTAAAAGAATCATACGC